CTGTATAAGTATAGACAGTTATATAATTGTTAATTCTTTATGAACTGTATAATTATAGAGCTAAGTATCTGTAAAATTTATACAAAATGATTAGCACAATTAATAAGACATAACCACTTTATTCCATATTGAAAATACTAACTCATAATGTTTTAACACAAAACTACTTCAGAATAAAATTCAATTGTATATCAAATCAAATTTAAATTTCAATAGAATTGTAAAAACTTGTTAAACTTCTTGAGGTCTATTTCTACATGAACGCCTATTGTGACCTGCAAATCCACATGTACTACATGTATGCTTTCCTTTTAGTCCAAGCAATTCACGTTTAGTTTTTGAACGGGATTTATTTTTAGGCCTTCCGGGAGGTCTTTTGAATTTTGGAGGTCGGGCTTCATTATACATTATGGCTTCAGGTATAACCCATTCTGAAAAGGAAGGCAATGGATAGATCGATATCTCATAAATCTTCAAAACCGTCTTTGGTTTATACAAATCTGAGCAAAATACATCGGCTACTAGACTTCTCCGCTTCAATACAGCCCAAACATGTTCACAAGGAATTTCTTCATATTGAAACTTCCCACAGCTACATGTTTTGTTCTTTAAACAGACCACAAAACTCCTACCATCATCAGTCATATTGTATATGTATTCAATTGACGGCACAACTTGCTTCACACAAATAGATTTATGTATATGTATAAGTCTATACAATTTCTATCCGTGTGCATAACTCATTAATTAATAATTTATGTACATAAAACATACCCCCATTCATGTGCTCAATGCTTCATATTCTATTAGTAAACTTTGAGCTTTTCCAATCAACGGAGTAAATGTGCAGGCTGCCTCGTGTTTGTTGTCATGATTCCATCTCCCAAACATCAGTCTTACCTCTTCCAGAAAATTGAATATTGGTAATTCCCTAGCAGATACTAATGCAGCATTTATACTCTCTGCAATGTTAGACGTCTTAGCCCATCCCCGATGAGTTTCTGCATGACACCTTGACCACTTATCATATCCAGCTAGCTCCAAATACTCTTTAACACCTACATCAACTTTTTTTACAGTATCCATCAGCCTGTCAAATTCAACTTTGTTGCAAGTCTTTGTCTTTGTATAATACACAGGACTTAACTCCTTGGATGCCTTCCTAAATTTCTTCTCTACATTACCCCATAAGTGCCACATACAAGCCTAATGTGACACATTTCTATACACTTGAGTCACTGCCTTTATGATACTTTCATTTCTATCTGACACTACACACATATTAATCCTTTCACCATAAGCCTCCTTTAGTTGTAGAAAAAACCAAAACCAAGCTGCATCATTTTCCGAATCAATGATACCATATGCTAGTGGAAAAATGTGTCCTGCATTTTAATTTACTCACACATTAACATTTTGATAAAAATTGAACAATAAAAAAAAGTAATCATACCTGCTCCGTCCGTTGTACTTGCAGCAACAAATGTTCCATTATACGGTCCTCTTAGGTGACTTCCATCCACAACAATTACAGACCTGCAATGTTCAAAGCCTTGTATAAAACTATTCAATGCAACAAAGACATACAAGAACTCATTTTTATCTGTTTTCTTTAGACGTATATGCGAGCCTGGATATGTTATATTTATCATATACAAATATGATGGAAGCTTGCTATAAGATGCAGCTACAGTCCCCCTTAATGCAACTAGAGCCTTTTCTCTAGCCCTCCAAGCCAACGAGTAATTTACATCAACTCCCAAATATATCTTTACATCACTACGAATATCAGAAGGTGTATATTTTCTCTTGTGATCAACAAGTTTGGGTTTAACGATCCCTCCAATCAGCATGCTTGTGGCATGTTTTTGTGAATACACTTTATCCTTCAAAAGACAAGTATGGTCTGTATTAAATGTTCTTATTCTAGACATACCAGAGTTGTTGACATGAGATGCTTTCATTAATCATTCACATTCATCAGAAATACACTCCAGCGTATAACTACATTAGCAAAAACAACACAACACATCAATATACAAATAATTAAAACAACTTATACAATTACATATTTGTATGTATAAAGCAGGTACCTGATTGCGTTTGACCTCACTGTTCCATATTGAAATCTTTTTTCAATTGCATATTTTTCCATCACAGATTTCAATATGTCTTTGGTCTTATACACTTGGTCTACCTCCACGAACTTATTACAAGGATTTGAAATAACTCCATCGCAGCTCTCTGACCACAAAATATGAAGCGGCTCTACCAATTCACCAATACTCAGCTGCCTATTATCAAATTCATCATTTTCATTGATGCTGATAGATGTTATCATATCGCTATCCTGATTTGAACTTCCACACAGTTCATTGGTACCAATTATACTAGGCAGTTTGCTAATACACAGTGGATACTTGTTGAACTAATTTTCAGACTTTTTAAGCATAATATACACTCTAACACCCATGTCGTTGTGAATCAACATGGGTGTCTTGCCTTCCTTCAATATTATACTCGATTTTGAGTTTATTCATATTCGTATCAATCCCTAGTTGCATTGCAATGACATTATACAAATCATTATACGATAAACTTTTTTAAAAAATCATCCCCTCAATTGTATAATCAACGTAACAATTTTCATTATCCCATCTACCAGAATGCTTAACCAATATAGCTAGTGAAGCCATTTTCAGAATTTCTGTATACAAAATCAAATTATATACATATACAGTTATTAGCTAAATAAATGCAGTAACAAACAGAATATGTACTTATACCTATTATAGAAACTTCATTTTTAAGCTTCTACACATTTTCAAATTATACAAAAAAAATCTCTGTATACACACAATTATAGCTTTATAGAAGTATGCAATTCAATAGCAACAACTAAAAAGTACATGAATACAATGGACAAATTCGTATGTAATAGACAACAGTTCCATTCAATTATACAATTTACAAAATAACACTAAATATGATAGATTCGAAGATACAAACAACAATCTAATACACTTAAACACTTATACAGTTTCAAATGCAAACAATTCTATGAATTGGAGCAAATCACAAATCAGTAATTTCAAATTAACAACAATTTTTCACAATTTTTTTTATAATTCACATTAACTAATCAAATCAATTACGGACATATATTCACATCTCAATATACATTCAACTGATTTGATGAAATTGAAAAACAAAATTTGAATTTTAAACACCATTGTCGACAAAATCAAAAACACAATCAGAATTACCTCTTATTTTTATCTCTAAAAACAAATTTATCTTGCTTGATTGCTTAAAACCTTCAATAGCTTGATCAATTTTTTGAATTGTCAACAATGGAGTTGCTTCGATCGAAGGAGAAGAAGGGAGACTGAAACTAAAATTGATTTGGCGTGAATTGTGAGATTTTTTCCTTATTTATCTGCCGCGTTTTGTTTTTTTTTTAAATTGAAACTATATAAATGGCTCAATTATACACAAAAGAAGACCCGTAGCTACGGAATGCAATTTTATATTGTTTGCTAAAATATAAAATTAACAATTTTTTCTTTGCTATATATAAAATTTGTCGTTGTTATATTAAATAATCTTCTTACATATTGGAAGATTATATATGTTTTTGTCAAAGTTTATACACCAATTATTACTCTTATAGCCTTTTCTTCTTTCTCCTCTAATATTTCAGTCTATTATTATTTAAATCATATTATAGTTTTTTTTATTTTCATTGATAAACAGTGAAATTCTCTTCCAATTGCTTATTTAATGGTGAATGTTCACATGTCAAACTTTTAATAAAAATTTCACATGCATATCTAAAAAATAGAGTCTATTCACATGTTACACTAGAATTTTCTTATAAATTAATTCAAGTCTTAATTCAAATCAATTATAATTTTTCAATTTTTCTTTTACACTTTTTTAAACTTTTTTAAAGTCTTTTCTCTATAAGGTGAGTTTAAATTTATTTTATTTAATTAATTTTATACTTTTATATAATATTGTGGTATATCCATCTTTAGATACTTATATTAATGTTAACATTTATTTTTATTTTTTGTATATAAATATGCATTCGTCAAATATATACGTACATTCTGGTCCAGTAGATTATGATATATTAAAGATCAAAGTTCATCATTGTTCTGAAGGAATTTGAAATTATAGCTTCAAAGAAGACAAGTCTTGCTATATACGCGTCGCGGTAATACTAAATTTTGGCAATATATAAAATATCATCCATTACATTTTGGCATTCGAAATCGGTATTTTAAAAATTGTAGATTTAAAGGAATTCTTGATGTAGGATGTGTGTTGTATGACTCCGAATTAATTTATGATTTAATTAAAAGGTAGCGTCCAGAAACACATACCTTTCACATGCGAACTGGCGAGGCTAACATAACTTTACAGGATGTTGAAATTTTATTTGGATGGTAATAGATGGTACTCCTATAAATTTAAATGGCTCTGATGCGTTAGGGATTTTAGGTAGACAAGAAATGATGTTTGAATTATCGGGATGATTACTCGATAATGATTGTTTTACTAGTGTTAGTAGATTGTTGACATATAAATTAATTGAGTATATTGAAGGTTTAAGTGATATTACTGATCACTCAACTGAGCATGAGGTGCAACAAAGGTTAAAAATATATTTATTATGGTTATGTGGTGGATCAATATTTTCAAATAAATCTAATAATAAGATTAATTTGGACTTTTTGATTGACATGAGAAATTTAGATGTAATGTCAACAAAAGCATGGAGAGCAGCCGCATTATCATATTTGTATAGTTGCTTATGTCGTGCATCAATAAAAAAAAATTCAAATGAAGTTTGTGGATTTCTCTCTTTAGTGCATGTATAAATATTTTTTAATTAAATATTTTTAATATACTAGTAATATGCACTTCTAAATTTAAGTATACTCTAAGTAATGTTGAATTTTATTTATGGTAGATTTAGGCATGGGAACGAACTATACCTCTGCAATCATTATCAAAGCCTCTAAGGACCAATCAACATGAGGTTTCAATTGCGCTTTCACGTAAGTGGACGCGACGTAGAAATCATCAATATGAGGCACGAACTGTAATCGGTGTGATTAGGGATGTACTAGATAATCTAACGGATGATCAGGTATTTAAATATTATTAGTATTTTAAATTATTTATATTTTTATTCCATTCTATTTAAATTATTTACTATTCACACTTATGTTTCACTATCCAAGAAAATCATGTGAATAAAATGACATATACATATATTTTTGGTAGGTCCTTAAAATAAAATATTATATGACATAATAGTACCAAAAAATTATTTCGTAAGATTGTTCATTTTCATGTACATATTTTTTTTTCTACCAATTTTCCTTTTATAATTATCTTAATTAATTTTTTTTATAGTTTATTTGACAACCTTATTCGGAAGACATTATCAATGGATTGCCTGAGTGGTTTCGGTCAGGACAACATGTCTGGATATCACATTTGCCACTTATTTATGGAATTTATCGTGAGTGGCACATGGTTGATCGTGTTGTGAAACAGTTTGGTTATTTATAACATATTCTTAGACCATGTACCCAATTTTTTAATACCATTTTAAGTGTGATAAACGATACAAAATATAACAAGAAGATATAGATGCATTTAACTACATACAATATTTATGGGAACAACGTCAAAATCATATATTTCGACCTCCATTTGTAAGTGATGAAGCATCTTACTTTTGTTGGTACATGAGGCATACACGTATATTCATTGAAAATCCATAACTTGTACTAAAAGGGTATCAACACATGAAAGGAAGACATGACACAGTAGTATATATATTATGTAAATTTTAAATTACTATGTCAATGTTTAACAATTTTTTTGTTATTTATTTTTTTATATTCATTATAGGCTAGGGGTCATAAAATGCAGTATCGTCGATTTAGGATGATTGAAAATGATGAAAATCAATCTAATGAAATGGGACAATATGCAGAGGAAGTTGCTCGTATTTCGATGGTGTCAATGAATGCGGCCTTCCAAGGAACGCGATTGAGCTTTGATCCTAATTACAATCCTCTCACTCAACACGATGAACCACCACCAACACAAGTATCTCACCGATCACGACAAACAACACGGAGAGAGCATGCACGTCGAGGTAGAGAGAGCGCTAGTGAAACAGTTGATTTTTCTGCAGGACCCTCTAACACTAATGTGGCGACTTCCGAGCCTTATTATCCCACGTTTGATTTTTCTGCAGGACCCTCTAACACCAATATTAATTTTTCTAGTCAAAGGAATCAGTTGGTTTTTTAACTCCACATCTTATATATCTGATTTTGCGCAATTCAGTCGATCTCAATATGGTATGTAGCATAGTAAGCAGGAATTTTCTATACATAATTCTCCATATGGTGGGAGGTTGAATTTTTCTAATGTAAGTATGATAATTTTCGTAGAAATTTTTTATTTTTTATAACTTTTTTGCATATTTATTTAATTATATTATATTGTATCGTATTGTATTATAGGTATCTATGTCCGATGATTCAAGATTTAATGATGAAACTTCACAAAATTTAATTTTTAATAGAGAAAATCCACCTCGGAGAACATCTATGTTATATAAATCAACTACACGTGGAATAGGCAGTCACTATCAAATTGAGAAAGATTTTAATAATGAAGAGGTAGAAGATTCGAATTCAGAAGAAAATTTTTTATGCACCTTTATTCTAAAAGACTGAATAGTTTTATGCAGTAAATCAAATTTTTATGTGTGTTGAATTTTACTGTTTCGTGTAATTTGAACAAAGAGTGAGAAATATATATTATTGCAGTGAGATTCTTATCTTTATTATAACTTGCAGTCAACTTGTAGGATATTTTTTTTTCTTTATGTCATAGATCAAATCATTACTTTATAATAGAGGTCAAATCAATTATATAATTATAATATAAATATATTATACTTGCAATATTTAAAATGCAATAAGACAATTAAATTCATGTCAACAAATAATTATAAAATATATATCATAATATTAATAACAATACAACAAAAATGCATTCACCTTAAAACATAGACAATATATTTAAAATCAAGTAGGAAATTATGTCTTTGTGTGACTTATCTCCTTAAAAACACTATATTTTCTAGTCATGCGAGTTGGTCATTCTTAAGTCGACTTCTTATTTGTGTACCACATGTCCACAAATATTTAGTATTTGCAATTAAATTAAAAGGAGCTCGTGGCCAATACATTTCATCGCCTACTGGGGTAGATGTCTCTGTGTATATTTTTTATAATATTTTGTACTTTAGAATTTACTTACATAAGATTTTGCTCGATTCCGCGAAGTCCACAAAATTAATGGCATGCGAGCAAGGCATATGATAGTTTATCCATTTTCCACAAGAACATTTCTTACCTTTTGATATAGCCTTGTGGACATTTCCACTAAACCATCATGAAAAAAAGTAGGAATTTCAAAAA